CGGGTCTTAAAACTAAAAACTTAGTGGCGCAAGAGCCACTTCAGAGGAAATTTGGCTAACGCTAGCTAAACGCTAGCTAAGCTGGTTGAAAAATAACACTGAACACCAACACATAGCATTTACAAGGGGCTGGAATTAGTGGTACAGTTTGCATCTAAACTCAAAAATGGTAAGTATTTATTACATAAGTGATTTTAAGCCAACAGAAAAATAGCCAGCTATTTTATTTATTTTTTAACCACTGTTGGTCATTAGTAAGCTAATGTTATTGCGAGAAGCTTGGAAGTATGGTAGACAAACTCTGATGTCCGGTCAATATCTCATCTGGAAAAACTACCTCACCTTTGAGTTTACACATTTAGGCATTTTTAGTGGAAAGTATTTATACCCACAATTTGAGCCCATAGAAAGACGCAACAGTGTTTGACTTTGTAATTTAACAGCGGGAGATCATGAAGAGTGTGAGCCACCTGCAGGCCAGCCAGCTGCTCCATAACAAGTTCATCGTGGTGTTGGGAGACTCCAGTGAGTAGCTGGCTGACAAAATTAATGAATCGGTATTTACATTATCTTGTGCATTTATACTTAAGGTGTTCTTGTTTGCCCAACGTTGACTGTTTTGTGAATAAACTGTATGTACCGTTCACATCCACTTCATTAGGTTCAGTTTGGTAGTGCTGGGATTGATACCCGTTTACCTTCATAAATAACATAAGCTAGTTCTTCATGACATTTGTTCAAGTTCAAATAATGGCATCAGACACGCAGATTTGTGTGTGGCATCTTTATTATACAAGAGTGTGGTAACCATATCTGTTCACTGTGATCATAGGGATGAACATGGTTAGTAACTACACTCAGGTACGTTGCAGTGTATTTGCAAATATGTGTAATTTAATGGGGCAGATGATTGCTTTACCACAACCAGGTTAAATTGTTCACCCAATCCAGGATGGATCCATGTTTTCATGTTGTTAACCCTATGAAAACTCAATGTTCTAAGCCCTAAATTCTGACCCTATTCAATGTATCCTGTGCCCCAGTGTCAACTGCTGTCATCAAGACATTTTTATCCAGAAGTCTTGTATATATTTTTCCCTTTCTAAACCATTCTGTGGCTCAAATTGATGGTAGTAATCAAGTTCAGTTTATCAGCAATTTCTAAAATGCTAAAACCAGCCCATTTTCTGCTAAGTGATGAATTAAATATTAAAGTGCACTTGGAAAGGTGTGCCCAATGAAAGCACAACTATCGAATCTGTATAATGTAATGTACTAATCTATGGGGACTACTTCTAATCTATCATTTTATTTCTTCCTCAGTTCAGCGGGCAGTGTACAAGGATCTTGTTCTGCTGGTACAAAAAGAGAAATATCTTTCCTTGAGACAACTGCGGAGCAAGGCAAGGGCTAAAATTTACCAGTTTTATACACTGATACAAAAAAGCGTGCAGGGTGTATAATCATGTGCATGCTACCAGTTAAAACCTCAGCTAACTTATGCAATATAAAGTTTGTAATCATGCCACTGGTGTCATTTAAATTGTAACGTAAAAAAATGGGTGTATTTGAATGACGTGCTTTATATCTGTTCACCTCCTCGTTTGTGTTGTCCTCACACTTGTAACCTACTTTTTTAGGGTGAGATGAGCTTCGAACAGGACTGCCTGGTGGAAGGGGGCTGTCTGGGTCAAATGCACAACGGCACAGAGTACAAGGAAGTTCGACAGTTTCAGTCCGCCCACCATCTGGTCCGTTTTTACTTCGTGACGTGCATCTATTCTCACTACATGAAGAGCATCTTGGAGGACTTCCGCCATGGTTTGAAACCAGATCTGGTTTTTGTTAACTCCTGTGTTTGGGATATTTCAAGGTGAGTATATTGCGTAACTATTAATAGGGCTGTTGATTTGATTTCATTAAAGAGATGATGTGAGATGAGTCAGAAGTGAGAGTGATGGAGTTTTTTTGTGTGCATCTATCAGTTCAGAAGAATCATAGCACAACTTTTTGTTTTCCCAATTGAATTCCTCCCACTGTAGTGATTTTTGTTCTTTCTGTTTATGTCTGCACTGGGTGTTCTAGATACAGTTGCAGCTGGGTTGATGACTACAAGGAGAACCTTCGTAAGTTCTTCGACGAGCTGCGTGAGGCTCTGCCAGAGGAAACGCTGGTTGTGTGGAACCTCACCATGCCCTTAGGAGAGAGGATCAAAGGCGGTTTCCTGGTGCCTGAGGTCCGTTAGCAAGTCCCATTTATATTATGATTTAACACTAATCTGATCGTGTTAAACACATTGCATATCAAAAGTCTCTTGTCATCTGGGGAAAGCTGATCTAAAAAATTTGCATAAGCCATGTGCCTGTAGTGGATAATGTGATGCCACTGTCCTCTCAGCCAAGTGCTTTTAGAGGCTGAGTAACAGCAGAAATCGAATAGCATTAACATCTGAAACCCCAAGGGTCATTTCTATTTGAAATGACATGCTCAAAATGAATAGTATATTGGGTATGTCAGTATTTCTTTGTTTATTCAGAGTTGTAATTGCAATCTTGGTATCAAAATAAAGCTTTTGAGACTTCATCAGAGGTGTAACTATTACAGCAGATGCTACTGTGTCAAAGGAAGTGGGGATGCCTACATTTCTTTTATAAATTTTAATAAATATATTATGGTGCGATCTGTAGTTTTTTGGAGTTTTTTTTAAATACTTTATAGGTGTATTGCTCTGCATTATTTTATTTTTTTTATTTTACCATCTTCTGTTTTGAGCCTTAAAGCTTTGCCTTCACCCTTATTTGCCTCAGATTGAGCACAAGGCACCCCAGTTGCGCTACGATGTGATTGAAGCCAACTTCTACAGTGGAACTCTGGCCGATGCCTATGGGATGGATGTGTTGGACCTCCATTTCCAGTTCAGATTCTCACTGCACCATCGAATGAAGGACGGAGTCCACTGGAACGCAGTTGCTCATCGCAAGATAACTTCTCTTCTGTTACAGCACGCTGCAGAGGCCTGGGGTGTGATATTGCCCTGTCCTGTGACTGTCTATGGTGAGAGGAAGTCAGGAGTCACACATACATGCAGAAAAATATTTTGCACTTCTAGGATAAAATGTGGTTTGTTGGTGTCTAAGCTTTCTGCAGGGTTTGAACTTCACCTTTTTTCTCGCTTTTTTGGGTGTAGATCACACGGAGGTTGCTGAGGAACAGCCAACCTATAACAGTGCTCCAAAACACACAAGTAAGACGTTTATGCAAACTTTGCAGAGACCTTGAACACAGACTTATTGTTTACAGAGTTTGGATAATGACCATATTATTACTGAGAATCGCATAGTAAGAAGCAACAGCAACTTGAAGCCCTGACAACATGTATGTGGGTATTTTAGTGGATGTGGCTTTTTACCCCTCAGCCATAAAAGGCTTAAGAGGCACTGTCATCACCAGAAGAACAACTTCTGTATTTATGTGTGGGCAAGTTAAGCAGATTTCTCTATGGTTAGGGTTGTATCGTCGCACATTGTTTTGGCAAGTTCTTGACATCACTTCAGGGCGTCTTGTGTGTTTTTATGTGGGTGTAGATATTTTTCAAGATGAGTGCAGAAAAACCTGTCTCAAAAAGTACCCATGTTATGTGCAGATGTAGCTTGACAGTTTTAATTTTTGCAGGAGCTTCTCATGCTGTTTTATTAGTGTGTCAAAGTACTAGTAATGTCCTACCAGTTATTAGAAATAGGAAAGACTGCTACTCATTCCCGGTCTTTAAGGTGTTTCTGCCAGGGAGAAACTGTTGCAGTAGATTTTATCAGTGTTGATGTAGGTTGATACAAAACAAATATCTAAAAAACAATCAAAGGAATGACTGCAGCCTTGCAGACTGAATGCATCAGTACACAGAATGCTCCTTTTAAAAGTGACCCTTTTTCTGCTGTCTCTGTTTCACAGACTGGCGCTTGTCAGAGATACCTTACAATGGCTGCCGGGCAGAGTTCTTCAGCGATTCACTCCCCACTAACTACTTTAACTTTGAAAACCCAGGGCCGCAGACGTGTCACCTAGAATCTGCTGGAACTCAGAGAGCTGCACTCCCACCAAAACCTCACCACAGAAATCAGTACAGAGAGACTAGAAATGGTAAGTGTGCATACACTGGAATGTGGACATACTTGTAATGGAATGAAAAGATGGGGACACGCATGCTGGAATTCACTCTGCTGTCAAAATATTTGCTTTAAAACTCAGGTATCGATGTCTTTTGATTAGTTGCTGATTAGCTTTTTCACTGTGCAAAGATGTGATAACTTGAAGCTGCCATGTCGGCTCCAGATATAACATGTCCTGTGTCCTGCAGGTTTTGACTACAGGCCTCTGCACCGCTTTGAGCCCTACCAGGAGTACACTCATCAGCATGTGATGAGAAGCAGGCACGCCAGACACCACTATGCCCCGTACACCCAACACAGACCCTTTTACTATGGCTACAATGGCGGCTACTACTGAATAGGTGTTTTACAAGCGGCAGACGCGTCCAAATTCTATTCGTCGAGTTATCTTTTCTGTATCATCAGGACATTTTTTCAGTCCTGTGTTTTACATCTACTAATAAGAAGCATCTTTTTTTTTTTTTTTTGTACATATACAATAGTTTACCCTTATTACACATTTTCTTAGTTGTCTAAATTCAATCTTTCTGTCACCAACAAGACATTTTAAATTTCAGATTTCAAAGTTTGTATTTTGTGCTCTAAAGTAAAAATTAAAGTGTTGACTGTTATTGCTAAAATGTGTATCATTCTTTTTGTCTCTTCACATTTCTCACAGGTTGGATATAGTATAGATTTGGTGGGGGGGGGGTAAACCCTGAACACTTATTAACAGCTATAGTTAATGTGGTTGTGTCTGCAAAGCTCCTTTGAATGTTTCATACACTTTTTTTTCTTTTTTTTGCTGAGATACTTTTAAGTTAATGAGGTTGAAACCAAAATGAGCAGACAAACTGTCAGCTGGCACTTTATCATATTAGTGAAAGTTTACACTGTAATATCAGCTTACAAGTATAAACGTAAACATACATTTGAGTATTTCTTGCTCAGAATTGGGCTGCTATCTTTTATTGTCTGACTTGCACAAATACAAAACATACAAAGGAACAAACTATCAGTCATTGCAAATGCAGTAAAAATTGTGTTGTAGTCCTTCCCATTTGCACAGAGTGAACATTGGTACAGAAACTTCTTCAATACTGAAATCATGACACCTTAGTGACATTCGGGAGTCTTGAAATCCAGAAAAACAATCACTTTTATAAAGACACTTCTCTGGGTCGATAATATTAGTGCTATAAGTGGAAACAGTTTCCTGAGAAAAGTGAAAAAGACAAATAGGAGGAATGCTGAAGTGTTAGCTGGAATAAGACGGTACTCTGCTGTGTGATCCTACTGCTCTAAACCATGAGGAGACTGTGCACTTGCTGCAACTGCGGCTTTGATAGGACGAGACGGTGGACTTGTTCCTGTCCACGGGTGCATGGAATCGCAACACGGCCAATGAATACAGTGTCTCCCTTCTTCTCTTCCTTGGCCTAGGAAACAAAAAATATGCACATGATATATATTTTCCACTGCTGTATAACATGAATCATTTATATTCTTTTATACTACTATAGTAATACCTTAGTAAAAGAGGTGACTGGGAATGTGGCAAAGTCAGAAGAAGCCTTTGCTCCAGGCTGATATGAGACCACATGTTCGGCTACCTCACCCTGAAACAGGAGACTTGGTCAGACTGCTTGTTTTCGCACTGCTGTCAGATAACAAGACAACATAAGGATTGTGTAATAGAAACTATTTTTTGAAGCAGCACCTTGAGTTTATCCAGAGCATCACTGAGGTTCTGCAGACGAGCTGTCTGCTCCAGGAGCTGAGCGCTTGCACTAACTGTAAGAAATGAAGGAGTCATAAAATAATTGCTCAATGCATTTAGCAAACTCACAAAAGTCTTCTTCAGAATATGAAAATACTTAAAACCTCTGTGTCCACATACCTGCCGTCTTTCCAGTGATGTCCACCACTTTAACCTCGGCACTCAGCTTGAGCAGGGTTGCTAGCAGCTGGTCAGTCCTTCTGTATATCCCTGTGTTTAGTCCCTCTGGAGGCATGGAGCTTTCTTTAGAAACTTGTGGGAGTTTAGGAGGGCGGAGCGGCGGCAGGGAGGCTAGCTGGGCTCTCATTTTCTCTGCCTGTAAATTTATGTAGTTTATTATTATAGTTTTGTTTTGATACAAATACACACACACACACACACACACACACACACACACACACAGTGTCATAAAAAGTATCTGCCCTATTTTTTTTAAATTCCTTTTTTTGCATATTTGTTAAAAATGTTTCAGATTATCGAACAAGTTAATATTAGACAAAGAAATTGTTTTTGTTTGTTTTTTTAAACCACAAAAAAATGTAATTTAAAAACATTTTGTTTATACTCTGGTTATTTTTGTCTTTTATTACCATTTACTTGATGATCTGAAACATTTAAGCGTGACAAATATACAAAAAAAAATGATGAAATCAAGACGGCTTCTGTAAATCCACACACATACACACGCTTGAATCTAGCATACCTTGAGTCTGTTGTTTTCATTCTTAAGGTGTTTAATACCCAGCCTCTGGGCCTCAATCTGCTGCCTGAGGAGAGGAGAGTCCACCACCTGCATTGGCCCTCCCATAGAGGGAGGCAGACCTGATGGGGAAACATAAAATGATTGTGGAAACAACGCCACCTTGTGGTTCTCCTTAGATGGTGCCGATTCTCCTCACTTTCATTTAGTTAAAATCTGACTAAAGTCTGGTAGGAAAAGTTTCACTGTAATAGAACATACTCAATTTTTGCAAGACTTCTTATAAAATCCAGTTAATTGCAATTGCTTTTCTCTGGATAGAACAATTACATGTGACATTAATATAAACCACCATCAAATATAAAACACCATCAATTCAGCTGCTGAGAAGAAATGAGCATAAATAAGAAGTGGGAACTTCACCTCCTGCTGATCCCTGAACGATGGAGGCAATTCCTGAGGCAGGTGGACCTCTCAGGCCTTCAATGGTCATCTTTGACTGGTTACTGAGTCGTTGTTTCAGCTCTGCCTTCTCAGCCTCTAGCTGGTCAATATCAGCCTGCAGAGCATCCATCGTCTCCTCAAACTCCCTGGAGAAGAGTAACGGGGAGGGTCAAATGAGGAGGAAAATATGGAGAGGAAAATTTCATTGTTTATTAATCCTACTTTTCTTTCTTCTTCAGCAGGGCAAGGTTCTCATCCAATTTGGTCTGAATCTTCTCCACACGTTCATCAGCATCTTTGGTGGAGGTGTCCAGCTTCTTCTCCAAGAGGCTGAGGCGGACATGGGCCTCACTCAGCTCCTCACCCTGAGATAAAAAGGAGATACAGTGCCATGCTTGTTATACCTGTCGGTTCAGTTTTCATCTTTCCAGTCCCTTTCACTTCGAAGTGGCAGGTCCTTTTACACAACTTTCCTTCAGCATGTTACCTTAATCTTGAGAGACTTCTTGAGCTCCTTGATGACGGTTTCTCGGTCTTCTAGTTTGACTCCCAGACCTTCGGCGTCAGTCATTTCTGCCCTGACTGTGGCTGCTCTCATTTCCACTGGAAGAGTCTAATTGGTGAAGTGAGAATTAGTCTGAAAAGTCCCAAACTGGGGACTTCATGTGAAATGAGTACTGTGAAACTGTTCAACCATACAAATACCTTTCCCTGTGGTTTTTCAGCATCATACTCTCCTTCCTGCATGGCTGTAGCCATCTTGTTCATGGTGGTGATGACAGAGCTGCAAGACTGCCGCAGTAACTCTGGGCCATTTACACCATGGGAGCCATATACCTTAGAGAACAGAAAGCAGATGGTGATAATCGCAAGAGATTAAATCAACAGTGCTTAATACACTACCTACTGATGTTGTGCAAAATGCTCAGAACTCACGATCAAACCTCTGATGTGCTAAGCGTGCCAATTAACTAGAACTATAAGTCCTTACATTTCCCTAAAACAAAAAAAGGAGGTTTTGCCTTTTAAAGAGGACTGAGCAGCTGTTAAATGTGAAAGTACCTGCTCCACAACCTTGCAGGCAATATCCTCCAGTTTAAGAGCATTGAGACCTTCCTGTTCTCCCAGCGAAGGAACCATCTGAGCTCCAGCTGCAGCTACCTCTTGAAGTACCGCAACCACACGGGTCAACTGACGCCTGCACTCGGTCAACGTCTCTGAAACCTGCCATATGAGGAGAGACATGTCAGGTGTACAGCTGTAATTATACAGATCCCAATCAGCAATGGTGTGTTGGTTTGTATGACATGTTTCTGTACCTCTGGTCCAAAACTGAGAGCAGCGGGGACTCCAGCTACATCTGTTCCGGGCATGCGACGGCGGATCTTCTTACAAAACTGTCTGATATCAGAACACGAGGTGTCCAGGTCCTTCAGAAGAACTGCTAAACCAGAGCTCTCCTGTCCTGATGACAGGAAGGCGCGCAGACGAGCTACCTCCACTACCATACAGTCCAAGGCACTCTGAGTAAACTGGAGGTGAAAAGGCAGCATGTGTCATTTTAAAGGAAAACCCGACACTTCTTTTTCCTTACAGATTTATAAATTTTGGACATATTAAAAAAAACTTTTTTTATAATAGTGTTATTTCTGGTTTATAGCCCTGCATTACAAGTGAAACCGTAGAAATCTTTTTAACTTTGCTAAACATGCTTGATGTACCTTAATGTGATCAGCCAGCTGCACTGTGCAGTCTTCAGTGTGATCTGCCAGATGGACACTATACAGTTGCTGGAAGACAATATAACAGATACTTGATATAATGAACATGTTATGAACTCACTGACATCTACAGTTACACAATTTATACGACAACTGAAATTTCCAGCTGTGAAGTTTTAATGTAAAACACATCCCTGCGTTACCTGATAGTACTTGATGGCCTTAGTGAGAGGTTCCACCTGAACGGTCTCATCCAGCTGATCTTTATGAAGCAGGTCTATGAAATAATCCAGAGAGCGTTCATGGAAACTCATTTCAGAGTAAAGGGTTCCCATGCGCTTAAAAACGTCCACGCTGCAGGTGTTCAGAGCCCTAAACGAGTGCAGGGAAAAAGGAAAAGAGTAAAACACATCGACCCAGTGATGAAGGTATGTTCACCTATTTTATTCCTGCATCTTTATTGGTAAAGCTGCGATATTTACTGTTCATATTTATGCAGGGTGGCCTGCAGCAGGCTGAGGGAGTAGACCAGTCCTGAAGCGAAACTGCGCTGTTCTCCCGGAGGCCCTCTCAGCCCTGTTCCCTGCACCGGGTTCCCGTTCAAGTCAAACTTCTCCTGTGCCTGTTTACTGATGAGTTCAGCCTTCGGACGAGGAGATATCGACCACATACAGACACAGCCGAGTAAGGATTTGGGAAAGCTCTTTGAAAAACGCACTACAACCAGGTAATTTTAAAATCGAGCACAAGAATTCAAACCTGTCATGTGTCTGCCTCATACCTTGCAGATGAGCCTGGGAATAAGCAGGAGAACCAGAATGCAGTCATGGTCCCCACCATGGCGAAGGAAGGAGTCAGGCATGAAGGAGGTGAGGAGGGACACCTGTCTGTTCGACTGAGCTACTTCCATTTTCCTCAGCTCCATCTCAATGGCCTGGAGACAAAGAGTGAGGTTAGTTGTTTAAATAAAGAAAACCAACAGCACTGGCACCGAGGTTGTATGTCACCATGGAGCTCTCTTACCTTGGCGTAAGCCTTGGTCTCTGCAAACTTGATCTTAAAGTCAAACAGCTCAGCAGGTGGTTGCTGAACTTGTTCTGCATTTGCATTCTGCTGACTGATCAGCTCCCTGTTGGTCTCCTAATGCACAAAACAAACCTTTTACAGCATCAGGACAATAGAACTGCAGTCCTGCAGAATTACCCCTCCATCCACCTACCTGAAGTGAGCCAGTGAGTTCTCTGTATTTGTTGATGGTCTGCTGGTAATCAGCTACAGTCTCCTGGGCAGCTTCCACCCTTTTGTCTGCCTCTCTGACCTTTGCTCCACTCAGATCGAGCTGTTCCCTCAGCTCCATCTCTGTTTCTCTGGCATTCTCCTGGAGCTCATCATTCATCTCATTGATGGCTTCCTGTTAATGCAAAAAGAAAAAAAAAAGTGGTTGGTCTGCTATAAATATCTCATTCAAACCTTTTCCTCACACCTGGATGTGTCATGTTGGAGATTTAAGGAGTGTCAGTTGGATTCTATTAGATCGATTATAAATACATCAGCTATTATAAATACATCAGCACTGACCAGATCAGTCACGGTTTCTCTCAGCTCTCTGACTTTCTCCTCAAGGTCGAGGTTCCTCTCCGTCAGGGTCTCCACCATCTCCTCTGAGCCCAGAGCAGCATCCACCTGGTACACACACACACACACACACACACACACACACACACACACACACACACACACACACACACACACACACACGTCTTTAGTTTCCACAAATAAGTCTCACAATTTGTCAGATTAAGGACATGCATCTTTGCTGTCAATGACTAATCTCAATAAATATTTTTTACCATGTATTATGAGCTACTGTGAAGCTAAATAAACCATTGCCTTTCTGTATTTATGTATACATCCTTTACCTGTTCCTTCAGTTCATCGATTGTAGCCTCTGCCTGCTTGACTTCTTCATGCAGTTTTTCTTTCTGAGTCCTCAGAGTCTCCAGCTCCACGTTCTTCTTCTCCGTCTGCTTCTGAAGCTTCACGTGTTCCTGTTTCTCCGAAGCAGACAGATCTCTCATCCTGGGGAGGAACCAGAAAGAAGGATTTTATTTGTTTTTTACGACTTGTCTTCTCTTACTGCTTTTTTACGAGTTAAGACAGGTTAATGTGATTTCTTTTTTTATTTATCTGTACGCAGTGTAACAAAGAGCAGGCAAATACCTTCGTTTAAAAAGGTATTTGCTACTGACCTGACCAGCGCCTCCTTGAGTCTGCTGTTCTGCTCCTCCAGCTGCTTGACCTGGTAACTGGAGGCAGCTCCATCTGAGCCTGCAGCAGGAAACAGTGCACAGAAAGGACAGCACTTGATGAGAAGTGAGCAGAAATGAGATGGATACAGAATACATAAGAAGACCTTGTGGATGACTTGAATAGCAGTGGTTATTATAAACATGCTGCTTTTTTTTTCCCCAAACGCACCTTTCTCTGAAATCTCATGCCTAAGGATCTCCAGGTCCATTGACAGCTCCTCCACTTTCTCTTTCAGGCTATCCACCTCAACCTGGAGCGATTCTGCTCTCTCTTCTGCCATCTCTTTGTCCAGCGTGGCCATCTCTATGGCATCTGCCGTGTCAGACATCTCCTCCATGTAGCGCTCCTTGGCCTCCTGTGCCTCCCTGGCTTCCTGTGAAGTAAGAAGGTATAAATAAAGCATTAAACTGGCAAGCCTGATGAGTTAAGAGGTTGTTCTTTCATTCCCAAAACCTTGAGAAAAAAAAAAGACATCACACTGTAGCACCGATGACTATTTAAGTTCATCCATTCCAGTCTACCTTCTTGGCCTCTTTGAGTTGTTTCTGCAGCTCGGCCTGCTGCTCCTGCATCTTGTTCTTCCACTCCTGAAGCTGCTCCAACTGGATCTTGTGTTTCTCCAGTTCCTTAAGCTTGGCTTTGTCTTCTGTTCGCTTCATCTTCAAAGTCTCCAGTTTCTCCTCCAGGTCCTTGACTTGAGCTCGCAGTGATTCCTCCTCCTATGACGTGATTAGAGGCAAGACGGGACCAACAAAATTAATCCATTAACTGAACCTCATCTACTTCCCTAGAATCTACTTTTGAAAAGGGGACCAAAAAAGCAAAACATTAATCAAGTCCCACCACTAAAATCCCAGACGCATGATGTATAACATATACGATGTTACTCCAAATTCCTTTGCAAAGAATTTTTCATTTTATTTTATTGAAGGGAAAGGGAGGGAGAGAGAGAGAGAGATTCCTACAGTTCAACCATTTCCCGTAGAGACAGTGATGTAAGGATGTTTCTTTAAGTGCCCCAAACTAAACCATGTGTCATCACCAGAAAATTCCCTGTGAGGACATTTGAAAACCATGGATAAGTATCGAGAAGGTCTGCTGAGGATAAGTTTTCCCCCCTGATGTTGTTAGTAAACACATGCCAGGCATCATCAGCATGCATGTAGCCATTAAGAAACTCTACCTGCTTGGATATGGCAGGTTCCACCTGGTTATAATAAGACGGATGAAATATAACAAAAATCAATTTAATCATAAATAAGAAATAAAATTTAAAAAATTAAAAATGGAGATGAGATGAGCTGACAGAACTGAGAGGATTGAACATGAACCTCAGTAAAGTTCTTTCCTTTCTCTAAGAAGAGCCTCTTCTTTAGGTTAATGGCCTACCTTGCTTGGAGTAGCTGGAACAGAAGCAGCTGCTGCTGCTGCAGGTGACCCGCTGGGCTGAGGTATGACAGGGGCGCCCAGAGCACCCTGCTGGGAGGACAGGCCCGCCTCACTGACATCACCAGACAGAGAGGATGCGAGACTCTCACGAGACGCCTGTTGACGAAAGCAGATTATGAACGGACTGTGACGAGCGGGAGAAGTTTAAAAATAAACCGGGCAAAAAAAGAAGAAGAGGTGTGCTGTAAAGCATCGGCAAACAATCCAACTATCAAAACAGGAGTTTGGACCACAGTGAACAAGAACCTTCAATAAACCCAGTGGACGTTGGAAGATTCATCTGTGAAATGAATGTGATACAATGATTACCAAATATAATCACCTCCCAGTGTCCCTTACATGAGACACCACCCTGCAAGTATACACCTGTGCCATAATGTCAGTAATGTGCTTCACCCCGCTCCCTGTGAGGTGTCAGCTGAAGCTCTATGACACGACGGAGCGTACCCTGAGCGACAGGCTGGAGCGGCTGGAGGGACGGACCAGGAGGGAGGGGAGGGAGGTAGCTGATGTGAGACGCGGCGTTTTCCACTGCCACAGTGTGATCATAGAAACTGTGTCAGAGCGGTTACTTAAACTAAATGCAGGTTAGACTGAAGATGAATAACGAAAGCTTTTAGTACTACCCCTTAATGTTATCATACACAACCAGGTTAGTGATATTAACATCCTGTTTTTAGTCTGCCCCTCCTGAGTCAACGAAAGATCACACACCTCAAGTAACTATTACTCATACAATTCTTTCAATGTCAAGTATTTCATAAGGAGAAATCTGCTTCTTATGGTCCCAGAGTCTACTGTTCAAACATTAAAATAATCAAACTTTTCAGAATTAACTCATGTATTTGCATTCCATTTGTCCTCTCCACTCTGCTGTAGGCGAGCTCACCTTTGCTGAGCGGCGGGCAGAGGACTGGAGCAGATGCGTGCACGCACACACGCACACACACACACAAAAACACACACACACACACACAGATATACATACATCCAGTGGTAAGGCAAGATAAGAGATTAGAAGCACGTAAGAAGCATTTGCTGTTAGTTTTGTATTCACAGATCATTACTTTAATACAGCATATGGTCAAAAGCACTGGGCCATGAATCTTTGAATTCAGGTGTATTAACTCAAGTCCCCAACCATGCAGCCTGCCTTTACAAGCATTTATGAAGGAATGGGTCATTCTAAAGCACTTGCTGAATTTTAGCGTATACTGTAACAGGGTGCCACCACTGCAACAAGTCAGTCTGTGAAATTTCTTCCCTCGAAAATCTGCAAAAACTGGAAATGTTCTGAAATTAACTTCAGCAACTCAGTCATAGCTTGGCACACCACCAAAGTTAAGGAGCAGGCGAGCCAAGTGCTGAGACACACAGTGCATAAAAGCCACAAACTATCTACCGACTCTAAAACTGCAAGGTTCCAAACTTTCTCCGGCATCAACATCAAACTGGGTTTCCACAGTTTCCATGGTCGAGCAGCTGCTGTCGGTGTAATGTGTAGGTGGCCCAGTACTTTTGTCCACATAGTGTAGCTGCATGCACCATTTAAAATCATCAAGAGCAAAGTTAATCTTGAGAGATCACAGGGACACGAAAAAACTGAGATCATGCAACAATGTAAAACTGAAAAAAAAGAATTCATTGAATTATGACACAAAGAGAACTGACATGAACAGCATCAGGAGAACCTGAAACTGTCACCGTGTTGTCGTCTACGCATGTACACAAAATGCCTTCACCAGAATAAAAAAAAAAAAAAAAGCTTAATGAAAGTAAAGTGGGGAAACCAAAAGAGAATGCACTGAAAATGGCACCTATCACAAGTTATGTCTTTATGACCCATGCAAATGTCAACAGATAAAGAGCTTAAGTGCAAAAAGATGAACTGCTGCATTAGCACGAGTATAACGCAGACCAAGCAAACGTGCTGAATTTAAATATAGCTCTACCTTTTTAATGCTCGCTGGTTGCTGAAAGAGGTATCCAGAAAAACAAAACATGAGAATTCAGCCCGGCAGCTGAGAGCCGAAACAAACAACATGGCATCATAAAGGAGGAAAAAAACCAAAACTAAAAAACAACAACAAACGGCTGGTCTGCAACGAATGTCACAACTAGTGGGGTCAAACTGATCACATTTTAATAACAACTCTCACAATTAAAATTTTAAATTTAGGGGTTATTTGGATGTTTGTTTAATCCAAAGTACATGCACCAATATTAAAAACCAAGTAACCGACTTGTCGCATTTTTACTTAATTGACAAATTAAAAAAAGTGAGATCAAAAATGTGTTTGCCTACCTGTTTGCTTGTTTTGGGAGTTTCAGGGATGTCTAGAAAAAAATAATAAAATAATTTATTGCACACTCTTGTTATCAATACTTACTTTGAGGCATTATGTTTTAGAAACGTGAGTATCAGTTGTTGTCCTTGCTCACCTTTTTGCTTAAGTGTCTTTGCTATTCCAGACTCAGGGGTATCTGGTGAGGTGGCACTGGAGCCATCTTCTACCACCTGGATCTGTACAATGGAACAAAAGTGTGTAATCAGGACAACATTCGAAAAAACACAAATTACAAAGCTTGATTTTGAATAATGAACAAATACGGACAGAAAACAGAAGAAAAGTTGAGAATAAAAGATGTCAGTCTGCCACATTTGTACATTTATTATGTCATCTGCCTGTTTGGATCTTTACAGTTCAGTGCTGATGCCATAACACCATCATCAGTTCCTCTTGTGCCCACCGGTAAGTCACTAACCTGGGACTGCCTGACGAATATGCCGTGATTTTCCTCACAGGTGAAGTAGCGTTTGCCCTGTACGGTGCCATCGTTCTTGCCTTTCGGCTCATCCAGTATGACACCCACCCATTTCCCAGAAGCAAAGAGGGTAGCGCCAATGTAGGCAACAGTGCCGCGCTGACCCTTTCCTGTCACCTCGACTATAGAGCCAATCTGGGAGACAAAAAGTGGATAAAAATTCTTTGAGTTATAAGCCATGTTATTCCTTCCTTTGTTATGTCTGCATAGAAAAAGGACCCACCTTTGGAGGTTTACTACTCTCCACTGTTCCTGTGCTGCTCATTCTGCTGATCAGTGGGCTGGTCAGCTGAAGATACAGGTAAAGAGAAAGAGGTGAAAGGGTAGATAAACAATAATATATAAGGAGTACAATGGGGGGGAAGGAAAGAGACAATAAATAAGGAAGCCAAAGTTATGAAACACTAGAGAATTTATTGTTTATATTTAAGAATTCCAAAGTACCATCATTCTCCTTGCTTTAGCCTTTAACATCAAGTCTTAGGAATCGAAAATATTCAATGATAAAACAGCCCTGAGGCTGCACAGCACAGAGGCATACTTGCAGTCAGTCATATGGTGCGGACTACAATAAACAAGCAAGTATCTCTGCCTTGCTCAGACAAAGGCACACATTGAAGACAAACTGGGACTGTGGTAAAAGTCTAATCCTTTTATAGAGATGTACAAGCATGTGAATCCATGCTATCTTAGTTTGAACCACAGGGCAGGATAAATCAGAAGAGGTTTAATATTTCTGGGACAGAGGATTATACTCACTAAAACAAGACGGCGAATGAAAATAATTCACCTACCGATTCGTTGGTTTTAGACAAACAGACCTTTTAAAAATCTACTTATGTGGTAAATATTAAGACAATAATGTTATTCTCATCGACAGGTCTGTCTATACTTTTTTATAAATTACTAAAAATACATATCAACTCTGATGAAGCCAATAGATGTGGATGGATTGCACATCGACATTATGGTGAGTCTCACAAATCCTTACTTCTTAGCATTATAGTGCAATAACTCACTGTTACTTTTCAAATTGGTTAATCAAAAATTATCACTGTCGTATTAATTTCAGCATTATTTGCTGTTAAGTACTCATGTTACTCACCCTGGGAGTGTAAGAGTGACGTCTGTTCAAAGCCATAATTAAAGGTTAATACGGTTTCACTGCAGCCGAAAGAAGACTCAACTTTTTCTCTACTTCCCCATGCTCTTCTCTTTTTCAGAGAGAGGGGAGGATAACACAAGAGTGCGATTACAGGGAGGGATCACAAAACGTCACAGCTGATTTGAACTGAGAGATGGAGGGTAATTTTTAACCAGCTGAGACTTGGATGTTGGTTACTTTAAGGACCCATTCAAACAGCTATGAGATCAACTTTTCATTAATCTGATTTACTGCAGCTAAATGTACATGACATTCAAGTGAGACGTATGAAAACACACAAAAAGGTCGGTTTTATTACTTTTAGCCATTATTCCCATTCATTTCACATAATATCAACCCATGGTATTTGCAAGACTAGTACATGCTAACAATGAACAAGTTAAAGATTGAGGTGGGTCACAGGTGACACACACAGGCTAACGATTACTTCCGTTCGAACTGTTGCTCATAGGGTCGAATACTAAATAAGCTACTTTACAGGTTTATTTAAACTAAGAAGCAACAAGTCAGATACGCACTTGCAAAAAGTAAATGCATCCAAAGAAAGTCAAAGGCTTGAGCCAAAACAATAATGACAAAGTACTCAATGACTCAATGGGGACAAATGTCCCGACACACAATTATGCTAATTCTATTTTAATGTTGACTCTTTACACCAAACCACTTTTAAATGCTATCTATGTACCACGTCGTAACAAATTATTTAGAACAGCTTTACAAAGCCTTATACGGTACTCTGACTAGCCAAAACGGTTTGAAACATTAGCAACAAGCTAAAGTCCGAGAGAAAGGCGCTGTTAAACAGCTAACATGACACAGGTGTATTTTGTAATGCAACTCACCTGATATATGCAGATTCCAGTCTTTAAATTAAGCCTTTTGATGTATTCATGCAAATAATAATCCTCTGGTGTTTTTGGATAAATAGCTTACGGATCCGGTGAGTTTTTCCGTTTTTGACAGGTCACTTCCGGCAACCTGACAGACTAAAAGAAGAAGAAATGGGAGAACTAGCGCCCCTCGTGGCTGGTAAAGTCTGTTTGCAATGAAAACACCCAGCTTATGCGGTTATGAAAAAACACGTTACAATACAATAATGGGATTTGCTGTTGGTTTACTGAGATTTCAATTAAAAAATGTGGCGGTTAAAAGCCACATCATCACATTTTAAAGGGGAGGCAAATAAGTAGTCAGATTGTTTTACAGTTTGTTTTCTGTTCGACAAAATAACCATGACAATTAATACACTAGTCTAACTGTGCTATATTAGTAATAAGTTAAAATTAAAAGAAAGGATACATGACAACTCTCTTCTGTTGTTATGTTCTTGTTATTATTTTTATTTTTATTTTAGGTTGATCACTTATTACACATATCTGTGTTACAGTAACACGAAGGCCCTTCATGCGTTATTACGCACGCACACACACAACCGTTTTGGTGTGGATGTATCGGGTCCCTGGATGCGTATTGACGTGTAATTATCCAGAGGCCTATGCGCAGCCGACCAATCAGGTGGCGGAGGAGAGGCTGTGCCTGCCGGCCGGCACACACCGGGAACGACGCCAACCCCCGTGGCGGTGACAGCGCCACAGCGACTGGACCAGGTCCCGACTTCACCACCTCGTCCGTGCAGAGCAAGGTAGACTGTTCTGGTAGCTTTTAGAATAACTTCCATGGGGCTTAGAAACTTTAACTCCTGATAAAGCTTGGCCGGTGATGTTTTTTTTTTGTTTTTTTGGGGTGGCTACTCCCGGATTTGATGGTTGAAAAGTTTTCAATCGGGCTTGCAAACCTTCTTTCCGGCAGCTACTTTCAAAATTAAAGCTATTGTTAGTCATTTGCCTTGGGAAAGGTAACCGGTGTATCGCGGTTGTTTTATTATGAAGGAAGGATTTATGTAGTTCCGGTATTTTGACGTCGGTTTTTAACTAACTCGACCTAGCCGCTGTCCCGGCTTTGGTAGGAGGATTTAACTCGATTTTGCGCGCAGTATGGTCGCGTAAGCGGGCTATTTACCGGGTCCGGTATGCTCTGTTGGTGTGATTGTATTTTTTCAGAGCCACTTAAGCACAGTTTTTGCTCATGAAACTCATAAAGGCAGAAAAAGTTAAAGCAAATAGTTTTGTCCCGATGGAGGGTGTGGAGTTAAAGTGTGACACGTTACGTCATTCATCCCTCTCCCGTCTGCTGTCTGCGCTGCTCAGAGTGGCCATATCAACAAGTGGCCTAAAGCCATCTCATTCTGAAATAGTCTGATACTTTAACTTCATCCTGCTCCAGTTCCACCACCTTCTTCATCACGGTACTACCTAAACGGATAAATATATTTAGAAATACTTTAATTTGAATAATTGATTTTTCGGGGACCAATTTCGAAAGAAGATCAGATATCGTGTGTTTCCCAAAGTGCAAAGTTGACGCTTTCCGAGTGTGCCCGATCTCGCGTATTCCTAAATTTTAGTCATTGTAATTTTTTAAGGGGCAAGTTGAGGATTTCCACTTGTTTACACTCCAGTGTGTCCGGTGAGACCCCTAATTCTGCTTTCAGGGTGTGTCTCCATGTCGGTCAGAAGCGAGAGTTGATACCAAATGCTTGTTGAAACCTAAAGTTTTCGTTTTACTTTTGCCTGAAGTTCGAAAGGGAGCAGCTCTGTATGTTTCAATTCCGCTGCAGGGCGCTTTAGTTTGGAAACCGAAAGCATTTTTGTGCAGAGATGGAATGTAACAGCCTTTTTCAAAATAAAAACACAAACAAGAGGAGCTCTTTGCTGTATTTACTGTATTTTTCAAAAGCAGGTTTTTATATACATTTGCTTGCTTTGGTCATGGATGGTTTTTATGCCTAAAAGAAAAAGCAAATACTCTACTGATACTATGACTTCAGAATTCAGTTGCAGTTTTAGTCTGCAACAGAGATTTAGATTGATCTGTACACTGTTTGTTTCTTGAAATCTGATCAACACTTCATGAAAACTTGCCTAACCAGTCCTTCATTGACCTACAGCGTAAACCCAGCCTGTGTGGACATTAGTATGGGTTTGCGTCATTATCAGAGTAAAAGATTTCAGAACTGAAGTGTTTAAAAAGTTGCGTTTTGGGTTTGTTCTTGTGTTTTTTTCTTCAGATGGCTGATGCGGAGGTGGCAAAAAAAATGCTGCGGGGCATCCTGCAGTCCAACAAAGGTGGAGTGTCATTGTCACACCTGCAGTCAGAGTATAAGGAGCTGACTGGGGAGCACATACCACATAAGCAGATGGGACACAGCAACCTGGATGCTCTTCTAGCCAGCATGCCATCTTTAGTCCGCATGGAGCGCAGCCGCTTGGGAGAGGTGTGTGCCGATGTGCTTCACATAAGCGGCGATGGATGATATATATTTTTCTGCTTTCTTTCTTTAAACACGTCATCGGTAGATTGTTACATTGTGTGATGTGCATTACGCCTGCAGGGTTTAACCATGTTTACATTACACTAGAGCACGACTGCATGCTTGTTGCATTCTCTATTTCCAGGTGGTTTGTTTTG